TATATATATATATATATATATATATATATATATATATATATAGTTGAAATATAACTGCATATTCTGAAATATAACAGCACATGGGAATAGAAAAATACATTTTAAGGGTTTTATGTTCCAGCCTTCACAACACAAGTCTTAGGTACATTTAAGGAAGTGGGTTAATTTTATGGCTTTATCCTAGAACAAGATTAGTAATCTTAGATGAGGGGATGACTTTTGTAATTTCAGAGCAATTAATCTGTAGATCAATGGCAGAAAATAAAAGGTGGGGAAGTATTCTTGCTTAAAGAGGGAGAAGGGAATGAAATTTAGGCTGGCAAAACAGAAAATGCCTTATGCAAAAAAGTTACAAGGAAAATATGAGATAAGGGCCGGCTGAGTGGCGCGATGGTTAAGAACTGGCTTGGGACGCCAGAGGGCCCTGGTTCGGATCCCACATTTGAGGGCCAGTGACACTGCCCTCTACAGATAAGATGCTGAACAACAGCTCAACCTGGAGCTGGGCTGCCATGAGTCACTGGCAACGGTATAGGCTGCAGTCCCTGTGGCATTGGGTTGCCATGGGCTACCATGTGTAGCCAGCAGCCAGCGTGAGCGGCCAGCAGCCACAGTGAGTGGCCGTCCAGAATCCGGCGACTGATCTGCCTCGCCCGGGAGGAGTGCAATGATGGTGCCAACTTGGGCCAGTGAAGCAACACCCTCCACATCTAGACTGAAGAACAAAACGACAGCAACTTGTCTGTTCCCCTTCCCCCAATTCCCCAGTACTGTTCCCATCCCCCAATTCCCCAATAAAAAAATATTTTAAAAAATATGAGATAATATTTGTATATTTTGATATCTGTTATGCCATTTATTCCCTCCTTCCACTTGCAGAGAAATGTCTATAACTCTAGTACAAGAAATACATATATATGTATATTTATATAAATATATACTTATTATGTATGTATATGTAATACACACAGCTGATAAACTAGAAGGTAGGATGAAGGAAAAAATTGCAAGTCAAAGGGCTAAAAAATAAAAGCCAATATGATTCTTAGATGGGTTGTTTTATAGTGATATTTTATTTTCACAAGAGAGACTCAGATTAAAAACCAATTGAGCCAAGTTAATAACACACATCCTCAAAACTGGATATTTAAATGAGAAGATTAGGCATGGAACTCTGCTCAATGTTTTATTTATATATTTATTTATTTATTTACTTACTTACTTACTTATTATTTCTGAACTCAAGGAAGAGACTTGACAACTATTTTTTAAATAAAACTTTAGAAATAAGTCTTAATAAAGGACCATGTCTCCATGATTCTTCTAAAATCTTCGTGAAATAATTTGTCTTTCCAACATGCCTGCAAAAGGGTTAATTTACTGAATGCCTTTACCATCTATCTACTACTGTGCAAAAAGTGATCCTACAATTAACTTCAAAGGAGTGTCACAGATTTATTCCCTCTCCCTCCCTGCTCCTTTGCTCTATCCCTTCATGAGCAACTGGTCACATCAGAAAGATAACTCCAAATCTAGAAAACAGCAGTTGGTCCCTGGATTCATTCTAGTTTCCAAGCTGCTCTTAGGCAGAAGCATGAGTCATTGCTCCAGGCTGAGCTGGCCTGTGTGGATGTTCAGCCAGTTTTCTCCATCACCTCATGGAGACTTTCCTGATCAAATTTCTCCATGGCTTATATTGCAAATGTGTAAGTACAAACTGAGTACAACTGTTTTATTTTGAAAGCAAAAGACAATTTGAAACTTTTTCTGTTTTAACCAGAACAAGGATGAGTGGGTTGTTTGGAGGGGGGTGCAGGAGGGGATCCCAGACAAATACATGAAGAATATGAACTCAGGTACTAAGAATACTGTATTTAAGGGTAGCGGTTTTTAAATGCAATTTTGAAAAAGAAATTGCAAATCCTTAGTTTAAATGCTGGCATTTAAATATGAGGAAATTTCTATAGGTTGTGGTAAGGATTGAATGAAAAAAAAATAACAAAATTTGGTGTAAATGTTGAATGATGCTTCATTAAGAGAAACATAACTAACCTTTCTTCCTCTTCTGTGGAAAAAAAAGTAAGTTTTCCCTTATAAGACATTCTGGGAAATGCCTTCCAGAATCTGAACCCTGGGCTTAGTAGACCGTAGATCCTACTGGGACGGAAAGAGCTTGCATTTTCTGGCATGCCTGTACAGTGTGGCCTTTAAGGAAGCTATCTGTGTCTTCTAGGCTTCCTTGCTGCCTTGAGGTGGTGGGGAAATCAGGAATGGCGTGGAGCCACAGGTCAGCCATAAAGGGAAATCAGATAGCCTGGTGCCAAAATAGTTGCCTTATAAGAGGCAAGTGGGCTGAAAAAGTATTCACTCACTACATGTGGGAAGAGATACACCTCTCCCTTAGATAAGGCTCTCCCTTTCCCCTGGTGTAGTCCATTGAGCTCAATAATATATTTCAGATATTTTCTGGTCGTTGCATTTCCATTTTTATTAATTTATTTATATCTATCTTTGCAAACCTTGGAGGGGTTGCCCCTTCACCCATAGCAGTACCTGCAGATGAAAATGGGAAACAGGAGCCATGCCCCAACACACCCCTCCAGTGTCTGAAAGGTGATGTGGAGTTCTGGGGCACCCTCCTGTGCTATTGAGACCTCCCTTCAGTGTGCTGACTGATTGGGCAAGGGAGGAACTGGATTGCCCCTGTGAGAGAACAAGAACCAGCACTCCTGTCTATAGTGCCAGAGGTCTCAAACAACCCTAGGGATCACCACCTGTTGTTGAGGAAGAGTCCCTAGCAACAGCAGAAGTAAATAGCTCCAAGGGCTTGGCTGGCTGGAGGCAGATGGGACAGCATTCTATTAATGTGTCCCAAGAATTCACTCACAGCCCTCCTGCACTGTGATAGAGGGGACAAGGGTCAGCAATGTGGGCACTGAGACAGAGGAAATAATGCGAGGTTTTATGTGGACTTGCCATGAGGTCAAGGGTTCTTTCCACCCAGGGACCCACATGTAAGAGGTCTTCTACGTATCCCCACCACTAGATTTGGGATAATAATGGAACTGCCTCCAGGAAATACGAGAATGGCCAGTAATGAAAGGATGGCTCCTGTTTCTTTCTCACTAGGAGGTTCCGGAACCCCGTGGGGTATTGGTCAAGGCCTATATCCTTGTCTTCCTGCACTTCAGGTTTACCTGCCTGCACTACTGATCATTGCTTCATACCTCCTCAACCTCTGAGTTTCAATCCATTTCTCACTATGCCTACTGCTTTTGCTCCTCCTGTGGTATTCAGTCCTCCAGTGTCTTTCTATTTTGCCAGTTTCCTTTCCTGGGGCATGTCTACTCCTGCATCCTCAAAAAGAATAACCATCTGTTGGCAAAAAAAAAGGGAGGGGGGGCAAAGAAACAAACAAATAAACTTGAAAAGTTTGGGGAAAGAGGTGAATGTTATTTATTATTTATTTATTTATTTATTTTTATATATTTGAAAACCCTACTGGCTTACATTCTGTTTAGCACTAATAATGTGACTTACATACTTGGATATTCAATAAATATTCTAAAGTTTGAAATATTGTGAACCACTTTTTAAAATGACACTTTGGGAGATTAAAACTTGGATTTTGTTTTCTATCTTTAAGGAAATTAAAGCAGTAATATACTAGAGTTTTCTAAGTAGTTTAGTTGAATTCCTACCACAGGTTTACAGTTGTATGACTGTGTGGAGGGACAATTGGAATATTTCTAGACTTGGCCAAGTCTAGGATGGGGAATTCCTATCTACCTAAGGTTATCGGGGTTGCTCAGAGCAAGATGGGTGAATTAAGATAAGGTCCATAAAGGTAGACCAAAGCACAGATAATAGAGAAAAATTCACAAACAGTAACAGTAGCCAGATGAGGCTGAGGTGCGAAGAACAGAGCCAACATTTCAGTCAGAAGCAGAACCAGGCTGAAAGGTCAGGAAAGAAAAGGGGCAGAAGAGATGGGAGAGTTCTAAGTCAGTGCTTGAAACATAAACTAGTGTTTGCCTTTCAACATTTTACAGTTGCTAAGTACACGGTATATAGGAGGCTGGCTTAAAAAGTCCAGGAACAAGGTGGAACAGCATTGATCACTTTACCCATTCTCTGAACAAAGAGCTACTATATACTCAGAACTTTTAAACACAAATGAAAATATTTCACTCATGTGGAATTATTTTCTACAATATTGCTGTGTTTGTAGTCTTCATAATTATACCCCATTAAAATGATTGTTCTGAGAGTTGACCAAAATTCCCAGATGGGAGATATTTCAAATTCAAGTGACGAAGATATGGGCCACACATACAGGGTGGAGGGATGACCATTCTGACTGCTAATAACTGAATTTACATAGCAGCCCTAAAATATGGTGCCATTGTATATGAATAATCACTAGATTAGAAATATGTTTAGAGGACAATTCTTCAAGTGAGCAGTTTTCATGTCCAGAGCTAATGATATTGGTGCTGTAAGCCATTGGTTAAAGGCTGATGAAACCTGCATGTCCAAAAGGTATCTAGCCTACAAACAAACCATTAATGTGTGTCTAGCACCAATAATGGGTGATTTGCTGCTCTGGCAAAAGGGACGCATGGATCCAAGAAGTTTTTTATTCTCCATTTGTTTCATAATAGATTGTTCTAAATTTACAGGTGGTAGTGCAATGATAAGAGGAGCTTGCTAAAATTCTCTTCACACTGTATCTCCTGAAGCTGGCACAATTCCATCAATTCATTGTGGTGGGTTGAGCAGAAATATTCAACAAATCATTTGACAGCTGCTCATTATGAGATAGCTTAGTCCCAACATACCAAACACTTATTGAATTTTCAGCCTGCCTACAGTCATAAAAAATATCTTTTGAGCCAGATGTTAAAAAATATTTTGACAAGGAATCACGTCAATGGAAGTGCTGTATTTCTGGAGAGTTGCCAAAAGGTGTGGTAAGTGACAGCAGGATGGGATACTTTTTCCTTCTTAAAGGAAGTAGCTCTGATAAATGCTCAGAAAGCCTTTATTCACAACTATAGCAATCCATGACAAATTCACTGTAACAAGAAAGTGCCACCAATACAATCTGCTCTTTTTCAACCCCCTGTTATCTTTCCTAACACCATGTGTGTGTTATTTTCTATGTGATTTCTAAACAATGAACATCTATAGTAGGCAACAAAGAATAACTATTAGCAAATTGAAGCATTGAAGTTTTATTTATACCTCTGTTGTGTAGGACAAATATGTTTGGTTGTCAGAAAAGTCATGTATTTTTGCAACAAAAAACATAGAAAAAATACATGATGACTTTTCCGACAACCCAATATATTGTGTTATGAGCACTTTTCAAAATGAATAAAATTTGTGGTGTAAAATTAATATTGACACATATTGCAACATAATAATTTTAAAATAAATTATTTTTAAAAATTATGCTTAAAAGTGGATATTTTGCTGTCATGGAGGATGCTGGCACCTGTGATAACAAAATAATACAGTATTTCTACATAGAATCCATGAATAAAAATATTTACATTGCATTGAATTTAACAGCAGGATTTCAGGCTTATTTGATATTTGCATTCACTGAAACCTGTTATATATTGGGTTGTCAAGAAAGGTATGGCACATTTTTGCATTGAAAAACATAGAAAAACATCATGACTTTCCCAATGACCCAATAGTCAACACTCTTGAACATGTATGATTTCCCTTTTTTTCTGTGGCTTAAGTAATTCCTAAACACAAAAGGGAAAGATAAACATCCACGAAGTAGCTCTTTCTTTTCATGGGAATGGGAATGGGTATTTCTTATTCTAAGTTATAATCATTATCACAAGAGGATTCGTGTTCTACTCTTTATTATTTATAATTCTCATATTATTTGTGATAAGACTGTAGCATTGGAAATTTAATGTCCTTTATATTCTCTAGAAGATAATAATAAATTGTACAACTTTGACATTTTCCACATCCCAAAGTATGATTCATTAGCCATTTCTATTTTGCACTGTTTACAACTTCTGTAGCCTGGTGGGAGAGGTACACATGCAGCCAATCAAACTTCTGAAAAGGTTAACTACAATACTGAAAAGGTTAAAGTTCAAAGTTATGATATTGTTAAAGTTTATAGTCTTTCATAAACAAGAATCACATTAAAATTATACCTCATTCTTCTGAGAACTATAACAAAAATACAAAACAGGACCAAATAATTTATTTCCACTGGAGCCTTGAGGTTGAGATCATAGTGCTATCTTCATCTACTATGGAACAAAAGGTTTATTGTTTGGCTTTCACTAAATAACTAGGTAGCATATTTTTAATGGGGAAGAACAATATCCTTCCATAATTATTACAGTGTATTGCAACGATGGTTTTAGATTATCAAGTGTTACTAAGAGATGTTGATTTTTAAATGACCTAAATACAGAACAATATAAAATGACTCTATTTCAAGATCAATGGGCCAAATCTAGAGGTAAAAGAAATTTTAGGGAGATAGAAAGCACTATGTCCTGGGCCAGCCGAGTGGCGCGATGGTTATGAACTGGCTTGGGATGCCAGAGGGCCCCGGTTTGGATCCCACATATGAGGGCCAGTGACACTGCCCTCCACAGCTAAGATGCTGAACAACGGCTCAGCCTGGAGCTGGGCTGCCATGAGTCACCGGCGACGACGGCATAGGCTGCAGCTCCTGTGGCAGTGGTTTGCCATGGGCTACCATGTGTAGCCAACAGCCAGCGTGAGTGGCCAGCAGCCACAGTGAGCAGCCATCCAGAAGCCGGCAACTGATGTGCCTCGCCAGGAAGAGAGCAATGATGGTGCAAACTTGGGCCAGTGAAGCAACATCCTCCACGACTAGACTGAAGAACAAAACGACAGCAACTTGTCTGTTCCCCTTCCCCCAATTCCCCAGTACTGTTCACATCCCCCCAATTCCCCAATAAAAATCTTTTAAAAAATTAAAATAATTAAACACTGTGTCCTGCCATAGGTTAATTCCATAGCTATCACAACACCTTGTGTGTCTTCTTTATATTGAGCTCGACTGAAATTCCTATAGAAAGAGCAAGTGATGAGACTAAATTAAGTAAAAGAACCCATGTATTTCTCTGTGGTGATATTCATGTTTTCCTTATAATAATGGAAATGTATAATGTTTATCAAATCAAGTCTAAATTTGAGAAGTCAGAAAAATTATACTTTATCATGCAAACATTTTCTTAATTGCTTGAGAAGATACTGTTGTTGCTAAAACTGATTAAATATATATGCTATTATATATATATATATAGATATAGATATACTTTCTCACCTACATTTGGAGACTTTACTGCCACTCAGAAAGGCTTTCTCAACATCTCAATTTCTCAAAGAAACTACCTGTGGAACTAATTTCCATGAAGTGTCTCCATTAGTGTTGTTTGAGAATGCATCAGTGTCCTAAATATTTTATGGAGGTAAACTGATTATATTTTTTTCAACTCTGAAAATCTCTTCCCTCATGTAAAATAAGATAATATGAAGCACCCAAATCCATCAATCTTACCATAAAGGACTTTGTCCATAATTGTGTTTAATAATAATTTATTGAAAATATACATTTACAACTGACTTCAAACAACACCCTGATTGTAAAAGCTTTGCATCAGAAGCAAAGCAACTTAGGGAGTAAGATGGTTCATGGATAGTGTTTGTGCATGTGAGAAAGAGAAAAACAGGTGGAGAATGACATGATTAAAAATACAGAGGGGCAGGATCACTGTCAGTTTAAAAGCGTCGAAGTACTTTACAATAGGAAGCAGCTACAAATTGGAAGTACTGTAGGAAAAGTAACAAATTTGGATATGGAAGAATAATAATCAAAAGAAAATAAAAAGGGACAGTTTGAAAAGAAAGAAGTGTTATGGATGAAGTGTTTCATGACAGAAAGTGCTCTATGTAGAAGACACGCATTTGAGAAGCTGGGAATGAGGTGATTAGAGAAACACTATCCAGCCTTTCTAAAAATGAATCTATCTCTGCTGATTCACTCCTTCCTATAAATATCCTCTCCTTAGATAGCAGCCAATCTCATATCCCCTTTGTGAAACTGCAAGCCCTGTCTGATTTAGGTTTCATCAATCCCCAAAATTTGCCTTGACAAGCAGAAACAACATCATCAAGGTTAACTTTATTAATGAAGTGGGTATGTGATGAACTAGGCTCACAAATGAACATTTTTTCTTCAATTTCTCAAATGTACCAGACCCTGAACTTTTTTCATTTTTAACTCCAATCTTTTTCTCCCCTAGTGAGGTTCAGTGATCATTTTCTAATTTTGTCTTTTCTCTCCTCCCACTAAATCATAATTTTTTGAGGTGGAGCTTCTGGCTTTATTAATCACACTTCATCCACAAACCAAGTAATCTATTACTTTTCCCAGAGGACATATTTATACTAATTTTAGGTATAAAATACTTACACAATGTGTTAATACTCATTGGTGCTCAATACTATTAGCAATATACTTTACAAAAAATGTATTGAAGACAGTGTTTACTGCCTTACCTGAAAAGTTGTTTATCCATACAAATTTTTTTTAAATATCATGTGTTAGTAATAGGTCACATCCAGAGGAAAATGGCACAATATAAATAATGATTTATAGTTTAAGAAAACCTATTAGGTACTCTTATATAACTGATATGTGTGTGTATATTCTTATATTTACTGATATATGAAGGATGTTAGTAAAATCATGGATAGTCCCAAATTTAGCAGAATGACATGACTTTAAAAATCATTTCTTCAGAGTTTATATGAACTTTATTGCTTCAGTTGTAGGCATTTTGATAAAACAATTGCAATTAATATGTATTTCACATTGTCTAAGTTTATGATTAGTTAACATTGCTAACCTTATCAGCCAAATAAATCCATGAACATATCACTTCAAAACAGAGCAAAAGATCATTTCTCCTTCGGCATTTGCTATGACGTGAAGTTATATAAGGGAAATGTCAATTCCAAAACCTAAATGCCACCCTCTCTATTTAACTTGTTGTTAGTTTTTCAACATTGCCAGCAGTGGAGGCTACAAGAAGCATTGAACTTTTGATTGGAAAACTTGTAAGAGGACCTTCAATTATTGGTCTTAGGCTCATCTAGCCAAAACAAAAGCAAACATACCAGAGTATAAAACATGGAATCCATGGGCTTAAAGATTCAAGTTACTCAATGTCCATTTACTGAACACATACTTGCAAGTAGCTGTACATTGGGTGCTATAGAGAATGACAAACCAAGTAAACACCTGTGGAAGTGACTCGTTACTAAGAGAACATCAGTTATCCTTCAGCAATAGAAGATGTACCTTTTTTAGTAGACTGAGCCTTCGTATGATCCTGAGTCTGTATTTGGAATTTCTACCTCTTCTATTCATGATAGGTCCCTAGTTTACAGATGGAGAAACCGATATTTGAGATATTTAGATATTTGATCAAGAACAAAGTGGGTAAAGCAGTTCAAATATATTGTGATGGAAGGGGAACTGACTCTGGGTGGTTGACATACAATGCACTAGATAGATGATGCATTATAAATTTGTACATTTGAAACCTAAATAATTTTACTAAACAGTTTGACCCCAATAAATTTAATAACATTTAAATAATAAATTGAACAAGAA